AGAGGCTTCCTCTAATAGACACTACAGCTACATAGAGGCTTCCTCTAATATACACTACAGCTACACAGAGGCTTACTCTAATAGACACTACAGCTACATAGAGGGTTCCTTTAATAGACACTACAGCTACATAGAGGCTTCCTCTTATAGACACTACAGCTACACAGAGGCTTCCTCTAATAGACACTACAGCTACATAGAGGGTTCCTCTCATAGACACTACAGCTACCCAGAGGCTTCCTCTCATAGACACTACAGCTACACAGAGGCTTCCTCTAATAGACACTTCAGCTACATATAGGCTTCCCCTAATAGACACTACAGCTACATATAGGCTTCATCCAATAGATCCTCGAACTACATAGAGGCTTCCTCTAATAGACACAACAGCTACATAGAGGCTTCCTCTAATAGACGCTACAGCTACATAGAGGATTCCTCTAATAGACACTACAGCTACACAGAGGCTTCCTCTAATAAACACTACAGCTACATAGAGGTTTCCTCTAATAGACACTACAGCTACACAGAGGCTTCATCCAATAGATCCTCGAACTACATATAGGCTTCCTCTAATAGACACAACAGCTACATAGAGGCTTCCTCTAATAGACGCTACAGCTACATAGAGGATTCCTCTAATAGCACTACAGCTACACAGATGCTTCCTCAAATAGACACTACAGCTACATAGAGGCTTCCTCTAATAGACACAACAGCTACATAGAGGCTTCCTCTAATAGACACTAAAGCTACATAGAGGCTTCCTCTAATATACACTCCAGCTACATATAGGAGTCCTCTAATAGACACTGCAGCTACACAGAGGCTTCCTCTCATAGCCATTACAGCTACACAGAGGCTTCCTCTCATAGACACTACAGCTACATATAGACTTCCTCTAATAGACACTACAGCAAATAGACACTACAGCTACATATACACTTCCTCTAATAGATACTACAGCTACATATAGGCGTCCTCTAATAGATACTACAGCTACATATAGGCGTCCTCTAATAGACTTCATCCAATAGATCCTCGAACTACATATAGGCTTCCTCTAATAGACACAACAGCTACATAGAGGCTTCCTCTGATAGACGCTACAGCTACATAGAGGATTCCTCTAATAGACACTACAGCTACATATAGGCTTCCTCTAATATACACTACAGCTACATATAGGAGTCCTCTAATAGACACTACAGCTACATAGAGGCTACCTCTAATAGACACTACAGCTACATATAGGAGTCCTCTAATAGACACTGCAGCTACACAGAGGCTTCCTCTCATAGACACTACAGCTACACAGAGGCTTCCTTTAATAGACGCTACAGCTACACAGAGGCTTCCTTTAATAGACACTACAGCTACAAAGAGGCTTCCTCTCATAGCCACTACAGCCACACAGAGGCTTCCTCTAATAGACACTACAGCTACATAGAGGCTACCTCTAATAGACACTACAGCTACATATAGGCTTCCTCTAATAGACACAACAGCTACATAGAGGCTTCCTCTAATATACACTCCAGCTACATATAGGAGTCCTCTAATAGACACTGCAGCTACACAGAGGCTTCCTCTCATAGCCATTACAGCTACACAGAGGCTTCCTCTCATAGACACTACAGCTACATATAGACTTCCTCTAATAGACACTACAGCAAATAGACACTACAGCTACATATACACTTCCTCTAATAGATACTACAGCTACATATAGGCGTCCTCTAATAGATACTACAGCTACATATAGGCGTCCTCTAATAGACTTCATCCAATAGATCCTCGAACTACATAGAGGCTTCCTCTAATAGACACAACAGCTACATAGAGGCTTCCTCTGATAGACGCTACAGCTACATAGAGGATTCCTCTAATAGCACTACAGCTAGACAGATGCTTCCTCAAATAGACACTACAGCTACATATACACTTCCTCTAATAGACACTACAGTTACATATAGGCGTCCTCTATTAGACACTACAGCTACATATACACTTCCTCTAATAGACACTACAGCTACAAATACACTTCCTCTAATAGACACTACATCTACATAGAGATTTCCTCAAATAGACACTACAGCTGCATATACACTTCCTCTAATAGACACTACAGTTACATATAGGCGTCCTCTATTAGACACTACAGCTACATATACACTTCCTCTAATAGATACTACAGCTACATAGAGGCTTCCTCTAATAGACACTACATCTACATAGAGATTTCCTCAAATAGACACTACAGCTGCATATACACTTCCTCTAATAGACACTACAGTTACATATAGGCGTCCTCTATTAGACACTACAGCTACATATACACTTCCTCTAATAGACACTACAGTTACATATAGGCGTCCTCTATTAGACACTACAGCTACATATACACTTCCTCTAATAGATACTACAGCTACACAGAGGCTTCCTCTCATAGCCATTACAGCTACACAGAGGCTTCCTCTCATAGACACTACAGCCACACAGAGGCTTCCTCTCATAGATACTACAGCTACATATAGACTTCCTCTAGTAGACACTACAGCTACACAGAGGCTTCCTCTCATAGCCATTACAGCTACACAGAGGCTTCCTCTCATAGACACTACAGCCACACAGAGGCTTCCTCTAATAGACACTTCAGCTACATATAGGCTTCCCCTAATAGACACTACAGCTACATATAGGCTTCCTCTAATATACACTACAGCTACACATAGGCGTTCTCTAATAGACACTACAGCTACGTAGAGGCTTACTCTAATAGACACTACAGCTACATATAGGCGTCCTCTAATAGACTTCATCCAATAGATCCTCGAACTACATAGAGGCTTCCTCTAATAGACACAACAGCTACATAGAGGCTTCCTCTGATAGACGCTACAGCTACATAGAGGATTCCTCTAATAGCACTACAGCTACACAGATGCTACCTCAAATAGACACTACAGCTACATAGTGGCTTCCTCTAATAGATACTCGAGCTACACATAGGCTTCCTTAAATAGACGCTACAGCTACACGGAGGCTTCCTCTAATAGACACTACAGCTACAAATACACTTCCTCTAATAGACACTACATCTACATAGAGATTTCCTCAAATAGACACTACAGCTGCATATACACTTCCTCTAATAGACACTACAGTTACATATAGGCGTCCTCTATTAGACACTACAGCTACATATAGGCGTCCTCTAATAGACTTCATCCAATAGATCCTCGAACTACATATAGGCTTCCTCTAATAGACACAACAGCAACATAGAGGCTTCCTCTAATAGACGCTACAGCTACATAGCGGATTCCTCTAATAGACACTACAGCTACATATAGGCGTCATCTAATAGACACTACAGCTACACATAGGCGTTCTCTAATAGACACTACAGCTACGTGGAGGCTTACTCTAATAGACACTACAGCTACATAGAGGCTTCCTCTTATAGACACTACAGCTACACAGAGGCTTACTCTAAAAGACACTTCAGCTACATATAGGCTTCCCCTAATAGACACTACAGCTACATATAGGAGTCCTCTAATAGACACTGCAGCTACACAGAGGCTTCCTCTCATAGCCATTACAGCTACACAGAGGCTTCCTCTCATAGCCATTACAGCTACACAGAGGCTTCCTCTCATAGACACTACAGCTACATATAGACTTCCTCTAGTAGACACTACAGCTACACAGAGGCTTCCTTTAATAGACGCTACAGCTACACAGAGGCTTCCTTTAATAGACGCTACAGCTACACAGAGGCTTCCTTTAATAGACGCTACAGCTACACAGAGGCTTCCTTTAATAGACACTACAGCTACAAAGAGGCTTCCTCTCATAGCCACTACAGCCACACAGAGGCTTCCTCTCATAGATACTACAGCTACATATAGACTTCCTCTAATAGACACTACAGCTACACAGAGGCTTCCTCTAATA